GAAAGTTCTTGGAGGCAACCTTCTTCTACCATTTCAGTGGGTTGTTGCCAAGAAGAAGATCATTCTCCTTGTTGTAAGTGTCCAGCTCCAACACTGACCACTTAGTCTCTGACAAGAGAGAGGTAGTCATTAACAAGAGCTTTTAATGTAAGTAGTTATTCTGTTGCTCTCCTAAGGCCATGGTCTTGTGCTTCAAGTTATATTTCATAAAAGATGCAACAATTTGTACGACTGCTGCAGCAACTGTCAGACAGATGGTGTCAGTGATATTTGAGAGAGTTGTCACAGAGGACAGTCAAGGATTAGGTAAAGAAATTTCACTTATTTTTACAGTCAACACCTGATGAAGTTTCATGTATTGATTGTTAGCAGGCTTTTAGCCAGAATTTGAAAAGTGGCTGTGCAAAATGTGCTATAGGGTCTGCTCAAATGAGTACTTTATAAGGCAACATGTATGTATGAAAAATAAACCAATTTTCTTTAGAATGTGGCTGTCCACAGGACACCTGGACACCCATCTCGCTAAAAGTCTGATAGTTCTAAGCAATCCCTTGATATATTTTTGACAACTTTTTGTTGGCTTCTCTTTAACCTGGCCAATCAAGGCACAAGAATTTTTAGCAGAGTTGTCAAGTTCTTGATATGTTTGCTGTCTGACAATTTTCAGTCAAATGAACTCATATAATAATCGGTTACAACTGATGTGATCAGCCACATGACTTGCACTTTGATCACGACCTTGCTGCATAATGTTGTCATAGACTGAGGTGATTTGTAATGAATCTATTAAAATAAAATTATATTACCGGTACATGTATATTACATTACATTAACTGTATTAGCACACGATAGTCCAAAAGTGAACAGTGATGAGTGAAGTACGCTTCAGAGTTCTTTGCCGACTGAGTTATCGTCGTTATGTTTATAGTTTTTGGGTCCAATCTCAGGCCATTGTTGATTGGCAGAAGAATTATGAAACTGTACGTAATGAAAGAGATCTAATTAGTATCAATACTAAATTGTTAGGTCCTGATCAAATGCCACATGATATTTGATGATAGTTGATCCTCCCCTAACTATGATCAACGATTATATGCATGGTCAAGCAAGAAAAACTATCATTAACTACCATGGAGAATTTGAACGAGTTCAAAGTGAATGATAGTTGAAAATTAATTGAGGTGTGTTACAACTATTGTTGACTTACATGTACATGTACATGGACCATCATGGGCCATTTTACCAGGGCTTTATTTAGAACCTAATATTTCAGTTTGTCATTTTCAGCTGCTCAGAAAGTTGAGGACACTGCAGGATCCATCAGACATAAGAACTGTCCTGTCAGTCTCCACCCATGTGCTCGGGATGCTTATCTACTTTTTCAGGTAACTAATCTGTTTCTTTACAAGTGTTATTAAATGGAGAGTTTTCAAGAGAGCCAAATTGACCGATGGTAATGTGGCTTATCCCAGTTTCTGTAACAAGAAGTGACTAGGAGTATTGACTAAGAGTGTTTTCCTTGCACCAGGGTTATTCCAGTCTCATTTGGAATGCCAAAAAGTGCAGTTTTGTTTTGCTATACATATATACAATTCAAAGTGACACTACTGGAAATTGTACGTACTTTCTGTAAATTAAATCTATGGACTACATGTAAATACCAGAAGGACCTTCCTGTAGCCACTCTTTATTACACCTGACTTAAGGATGAATTTGTCTTTCTTTCTGTTTCAGGATTTGTGTCAACTTACAAATGGAGAGCAGCCCTACTGGTTGATTGGTATTATTGAGATGACAAGAACATTTGGGTTAGAGCTGCTAGAAAGTGTGCTGAAGGGATACCCAAACATATTTCTTAAAGTATGTCGAATTTTTATCCGCTGGTAGTATGGTACAGTGTAATTAGCACATGTTAAACAAGGCCTTAGATGAGAGTTCATTTACCATAAGATTATATATTATAACATGTATTAACAGTTTAATCTCATACCTTCTGTCTTTCACAAGATTGTTCTGAGGCATTTCATGATACAGATTTTGTAATGTTCTATCTCACAGCTGGTTTCAGACACATCTCTAAGTTAATTGCTTAATTTGCCCTTGGAAAACATGTAAACTCTGAAAATGTGAACTCTAGTTGAAATTTCACTACTGCTTATTAAGTTGTGTGCATAACTGCGATGATCAATCATGTCTTCATATCTTTCTTTGCAGTTCAAAAATATGATCTTTCATATATTCACTTGTAGTTTGGTTTTATGTTGTATTTAATTCTTTTTAATAAGCAAACATTTGGCGAGACAGAGACTGTCAGTTACTTCGTTGTGACTCAGGTCAAGTTTGATTTCTTTTTGTTAATTAAAAGTTTTTTTTCCTCAGAATCCTTTGGTTGTTGAAATTTTGATTTGATGGCTGTGTAAAATACATGTACAGTAAATCATTAGTTAGGTTAAGAATTTTGGCATTTGCATGTCATTTGTCATTAAGGCACTCTGAAAGAAGTGATGCACGTTTTTTTGATAACATTGGAGTTTTTGTTTTTCAGCATCCTGAATTTAGCTTCCTACTAAAGGAAAGAGTCTGTCCACTGATCATCAAACTGTTCTCTCCAAGCATCAAACACCGTGTAAGCTCAACTCCATTGGAGAAACCACTCTATCCAGTGGCGGTCAGACTTCTTAGGATTGTCTCTGTCCTGATAGAAAAATTTTACACTCTTTTGGTGAGATTCTGTTTCTTTTTGGTTCATTTGGTTCAACAATGCTGGCATGCTGACAGCAAATAAAAACCATACCTAACTCTTATAATCAGTTTCTTTAAAACCTATTTTGGGATGAAAACTAGAGATAAAAGAAACAATGTTTCAACCCCTTTTCTGAGATCATTTTCAAATTTAAAAAGTTATTAACATTTTTGTGTACTATGTATATGATTGAGTGAAATTAAGACATGAGGATTTGAAAAGTGATAAAAGTATGTTCATGAATATGGACTAAGCTTTGCAAAATGAAAGTGCCAAAAACTTAACTACCAAAGGCTGGATAAGACAATAGGACTATGTTAAAAACTACAAAAGACATAAATATAAAGATCAAATACTCTGTACTATAAATACACTAACAATAACTTTGCGTGGATGGAGTCAGACTGCATGTTCAAAGTTGACTTTAAAAATAGGTCTTTGATAAAAAGTGTCTCATATAAATTAAGCAGTCAAATTAATGCTCTGGCACTTTTGTAAGATCTTAAATTTAAGATCTACACGTATGTCACTTGGGTCCCTCCCATGTTGCTGTTGTATATTTTTACTTCGTACCTATCTCATCGATGCTCATTTTCTAGGTAACTGAGTGTGAGATTTTTCTGTCCCTCTTGGTGAAGTTCCTGGAGCCAGATAAGCCACAGTGGCAGAGAGCACTGGCTCTTGAAGTTCTTCATACTCTTACAATTCAGCCAGCCCTACTCAGGTAGTCTTTTGACCATTTGCTTATACTATTACAACTAAAGTGGCTTATTGGATTCAATCTTTGGCCATTGTGTGTACAGTATGGTACATTCTTGGGCAAAACATTACATTGACACTTCCATTCCATTACTGGGTGGGTAGCGGCAAAGTGCCAGGTAATACAGCTGTGTGACAAAATGCTGTTAACGAAATCAGTGTGATGGACTAGCATCCCATCCAGGGGGGAGTAGCATTACTCATAGAAAGCTTCAGTAGACCTACACTGTAGAACTCCTATGAGCTTCCCCAATTTGCAAATCACACTCGAAGTAGCTGCATATGCTCCTTTAATACTAGTGAACTTAAGATTTGAGTACAAGGGCAAGATTGAGTACGAGAACCACTTTTCAGTTCTAGTTTGCAGGCTCCACATTGTCACATCACATACCCATCTCATCCCATGAGCTACCCTCTCTACCTAAGACTAAAATGAAGAGTGAGGGCTCTGGAAACGTCACTGGTTTGAAATTCAAAAATCATGCTTGCACTCAATCTCGCACCCATAGTCCAATCTAAAAGTCCCTATTACAACACAGTCAGTGGCTTTTGCTTCATCACTAGCCACATTATACCATTGCAGCTACAATTGAACTCATCCTTGACACTGTCTCTGTTTCAGGTCATTTTGCCTGTTTTATGACATGCAGGAACACTCCACCAGAATCTTTCATGACATGGTGAATGCCCTGACGAGCTTCACCCAGGGATTATTCACCAACCAGACAACCCACAGCTCATCACAGAATGCGTCACACTTAGCCAGTGCCAACACAATCCAGACTCCATCCAGTGCTCCGCCCCCATCAGTCGTGGCTCTGAGTGCAATGGGTGGGGTCACTCCGCAGCCTGGGTTCTCTTACAGGGGTTCATGGATACCACTGAATGTTATGCCAGTTTATGGTCAAGCTAAACCTGTTTAGTAAGTTCACCCCTCTCAGTTATGTCTGTACTCCTTATTTTTATTCTCATTGGTTTGGAGTGTGCTGCTTAAAGGAGCTATATCAGTTTGTCAGTTTCCACATCTTGAAACATTTAGCCTAAATTTTTCATGTTTGTTGTTTGTAACCTGTGTTAATCTTCTACATCCTTAACCATCCTTGTTCCTTTATGGTTTATTGTTATCTTTTTGGTGTTTTTTATCTTAAGTTAACTTAGTCAACTACTACTTTCTGGTTTCCTTCAATTGAAATGTCATTTTGTACATGGCCAAAATAACTCAAAAATTATGCCATGTCTGAACTCCTTTGACAGTCTATTCATGCTTTAGCATGCATCATTGAGGTACATGTATGATGCATGTGGGAAGTTTGAAGAGCACAAACTGGGCACTCAAGAGTTGCTTGAGGCGCAGCTTGCTATTTTTTAAAATCATTTATAGTAAGAGGGTTAATCACATGTCAAGTCATGTGTGGTGCAGGACTCTTAAATCAGAAGTCTTGCCCATGTTATTGCTGATGTGAACAAGCCTGGCAAGTTTATGACCAAAACAGCGTTGCATGTTTTGAGTTGTATATTGAGAACATTCATGTTAAGAAGTAGTTTTGGGGTGCCTTTGTCACTATGAATCCTCAAAAATTGTCCACCTAGAAGATTCCCTAGGTCAACCAAAAGGAAAGTTCAAGAATTCACAATTCAAATAATGTTATGCATTTACCAAATGAATACACTTTGTGCAATCTTCAAATTTTTATTGTTGTAAGAAAAGGATCGTACAGTAACACATTTGTTGACTGAGGGAGCAGGCTCAACTAGACTAGAAAAACCCAAGCATATTCCTGTCTGGACTTTATACCTACAGGTATGCAATAAGCAGGGCTTGAAGAAAAACTTGAATTCCAGTTTGCCTTTCACACAAGCAGCCCTCAATTTTTGCTTGCCCTGGACAAGTCTTAGTTTGCTGTTATTACGATTTAATTGGCACATTTTACTTGTCTGGACCCTTATTTCCCATTCAGCAAGTGAGAATGAAAAGTAAGTTGCCTGGCAGGAAAATCTTCTTGTCCTGGATGGCCCTTTTTTGAGCCCTGATTAAGTACATGTTATTTCTCAGTCTAGAACAGTTGGAAAGGCCTGAGTGTTCATCAATCTCTGATGGCTACACACTGTCCATTGCCTTCGCCTGTTTGCTGGAGATTGTCAAAAGTCTTGATGTGCTTGTACAAGAAAGCAATGGCTCATCAAATGGGGGAGATGTTATTGGTTGGATTGAACCTGAAGTGCCTGGAACACCTATTGAGACAGGGGTAGGGACTGACACTATCAGAGCTGCGGCAAAAGAAGGTGTAGAAAATGACAAAGGTGGGTAGGATTAGTGCCCTTTTCCTTTCTGTTAAGAGAATCTGAAACAACTGAAAAAGGCCTCCAAGTGAGAGACTTTCACTACTTGAAGTTAACTACCTGGCCCCAGTTGTTCAAAGGCTGGATAATGCTATCAGCTGGATAAATCGCTATCCACTGGATAAATTGCTATCCAGTGTGTTGACATAAGAAACCATGCTATCCACTGGATAGTGATTTATCTGGTGGATAGCATTATCCAGCCTTCAAACAACCAAGGCTAGATCAGTTTTTGTCCCACAAACGTAGTAAGAACTAAAGCCAACCTTTGCTACTCGCATGTATTTTATAAACACTTTAACTGCTAACCACTATGACAAACACTGAAATTATTTTTTTATATCTTTTTGATGGTGTTATTTGCAGGATCAAATGCACCAGACTTGTTTCAGGAGATGGTGTCAGCTTCGTGGTGTGGAGTTTTGGCATCCTTATCTTTACTTTTAGAAGCAAGGTATGTGTTAAGAATTGGTTTCATATTAGTTGTACATGACAGGAAAGAGGTTTTTGTAGTCTGTTTTTATTTCATGAAAACTGTCTGACTTGCACTGATAAGCAACACCAATACCCCCCAGCAAAATGTTACTCTCTTTCTCTCTTTTTACCTTGGACTGAAGAGTAAATATGTTGTAGGTCAAAATGAAATTCAGGTTAAAATAAAATTCTTTTGTCTCTTAACCCTAATTATTCATGGATCATGAATAATTAGGGTTAGAAGACAAAGGAAATTGAGAATCAAACTAAGTTAAAATCATTTTAACCTGAATTTCATTTTGACCTACATCATATACATGTATGTTAATTAACAAACACTGGCAAACTACATGTATTAGTCAGGGGATCTTTACAATCTACTGGGAGGAAACCTACCCTAGACTACATAGCATCCCTTCCAGAGAGGAGGAGCAATGCCCTTAGTTACTTGATGTTACATGAACAGGAGATACGTACAAGGACCAATGTACCATCATGCCCCTAGGCTTGATTACCAGCTCCTGTTCGGGAAAGGAACCTTCGCTTCTCCCCCGAAGGCATAGACTGGACTTGAGAGAAAGGCAGATATCAAGGCTATCATTCCCCCCCCCCCCATCTCTAAAAAAAAACAACCTTACTACCTGCATAGTAGTCAGAGGTATCAGTGATATCAGGAGCCCATTGCCCAGAGCCTCCATCTCCTGTACTAACCCTGTGAGTCAACCCTTTCCAGTATCTTTCTATCTTTAGAAACAGTTCTTGTGGGAGTTTTCTCTTGATCCCTTTTCAGTACACAATGATACCCTAACTAAGACCATTTTGTTACAACAAAGCCTGAGATTCCACTTTTGCCCTCAATTTTGCATTATCTATCTGCAGAAACAAGATATTTCTTGGGAAACCAAGAGACCCTTGCGCCAATTACAGTTCTAAAAATAGAATGATACGGGAAAGGATTGACCCTACGTTATGTATGGAGGGGCTCCTGGTGATACCAGATCTGTGAACTCCATGATAAGTTTGCCGGTTGTTAATTTTTCTTGATATGTGACATATAAACTTTGTTTATTTTGCAGCAATGATGAAACTGCCACAGAAACCATACTCAAATCTTACCAGTTATATGCTAATGTTTGTGGCATCCTGAATCTCACTACTCCGAGAGATGCGTTTATCACTTCACTTTGTAAGGCAGCATTGCCCCCACACTACACCCTGACAGTACTTAATCCCCACTCCGGTACTGCTCAGGTATCTTATGTCAAGATGCCAATGAGTGGGTCTCAGTCCCTCTCAGAATCACAGGGAGGAGATCACAGAGGCATTGGGAGATCACTGTCTGGCTCGGGAGAGACTGGGTCTAGTGCTGTTGTCACAGGCGTCCCACTTGGTTCCAGTCATGGTCCTGTGTCCGTAAGTTGTGTAATTAGCAGTTCTGTTTATTTAAAGTTTGGCAAACATTTCAGATTAAAAATTCTGCCTGACTTTCAAATCATATCAGCACACTGTTATTTTTTATATCACGTTTTCATAATCAAGTTCAATCCCTATTAAATGGCCACCCTCGGGGAAATGAATATAGTGGATGCATAAAAGGGATTGGCTGCTTAATAGAGATAAAAACAGTGAAAAAGCCCTCATTGGACCTTTGATTACTGGCTGCCAAATAGGGGTGACTGTTTAATAGGTGGCCACTTAATAGGGGTTCGACTGTAAAATTAATTGAATTGATAACTTTCTTGTGTAAGGACCCTACATGGAAATTTTTGAATTTCCCCTGAAGGCGACAAATTGTCATGGTACACTCACAGTATTTTGTTTTTATTAATAGTTAACAGCAAAGAACATTCAGTGTATGCGCTCACTGTTAAGCCTTGCACACTGCCATGGAGGAATTCTGGGAACAGCCTGGCACATGGTACTTACAACACTGCAGGTTAGATTTTAGTCAATAAGATTTGAATTCAGAAATCAAACAGACTAAGAACTTAGTAAACAAGCTTTGATCAAATTATTGTTGAATCTGGCAGTTTTCCTGTCAGATTGCAATCGATTTGTTTAGGATCAGGTCCACCTAGAATCAGTAAACTTACCCCCCCCATCAATATTTGAGTCTACCTGTCAGATACAGGTCTAATTACATGCTCCCCTTTTACTACTATGGAGGAGGTGTGATGGCCTCATTGTTAGTGCGCTTGCCTCCTGATTGAGTGGTCCAGGTTCAAGCCCCTGCCGGGGACATTATGTTGTGTTCTTGGGCAAGGCACTTTACTCTCACAGTGCTTCTCTCCACCCAGATCGGCGAATTTTAAGAAGCTTGCTTGATACTCAGCCCTTCCATTTTTTCTCTACAGCATCTGACATGGATTTTGGGTCTGAAGCCGTCTGCAGGAGGGACGCTGAAAGCTATGCCAGCCAGCGAGGCTCCTAACTTGGTAAGAAATACTTGCTGTTCTTCCTTTGCTTGCATTGCGAGACTATGGATTACGGTGTAACACCATTAAGAATAGAATAAGGCTTACTATACGTTCTTTGCTTGCACTGGAAGCCTATGGTACCACGCCAGCGTGAACATGATATTAAATGTAGCACTATTTTAGGATCTTTTCATATGTTCTAGGTCATAACCCAAGCAATGATGGCTGAGCTTCCTGTCCTGGCTGCAATCTTATCAAGACTCTTTGAAACATCCAAGTATGTCTTCTGATTACTGTAATTCCTAGCTTCTCGGCACCTTTTGTAACAAATTCTATTAGAAAATCTGAGGGATCAGGTTAGAAATAGAAAAGCGAAGCTGATGTAAATTTTTATAGCTTGTGCAGCCGACCGAATTTTGCGTGACATTGCTTTGTTTGTTTGTTCTATTTTTTTACCATTAATTTATAAATATAGTTACAACATATCAATGTATAAAGGCAAGGAAGCCCAGGGAAGCCAGTAAGGCTTAAAGATACCTAAGACTTAACAAAAGAATAAAAATGCTTTCATCGGCACACAAAATTATCATTATTTAGGATAAAAAGTAGTTGAACAAGGCTAAACGCGCAAATGCGCAAAATCAAAGGAAGACAGAAAAATAGCGAAATAAAGCACACACAAGCACACTAAGAGAATTGAAACATACTTATATGGTTACGCCTCACGGCTTTTGCAGCCAGTACTCGCAGTCTCCCTTCCAAAACAAGCGCCACTTGCGCAGGAATCCTACCAGCTACGAAAACCATCGCGCAGATTGTTTGACACGCCCATGACGTTTGGTTCCAGTAACCAAACATGCTGAAGTTAATGTAGTAGCTGTGAAGGATACTGGAGATGGCAAGGTTTCAGAAATAACAAGTCAGTTTTCTTTATTTTTACAGGTATCTAGATGATGTCGGTTTGCACCATCTTGTGGACGCGCTGTGCAGATTATCCACCACTTCAATGGAACAAGCACAGACCAACAAGGTACAGAGACATTTAATTTAAATTGTTCTGATATCCTCTATTGTCTACCTAACACACTTAAGTATAAATCTACTAGCTGCCTATCACGAATGCTGTCTTCTGATTGGCTACGCCACTTACTATCTATTCTGCTGTAGATAGTGACGCCCGCTATTCTGTTGTAGGGTTAGGGACGCCTGCCGGCTGCACCCTCGTTATTTGTCACGCGATAGAAATCGAGAGCGAATAATCTAATCGTCGAGTAGAGACCTCAGACACCCATATCGTGGTTCAGTTTTCTTTGGCATATAATGGCTTTTTTACACGTAAACTTCATATTAATTGATGATTGTTCCGTCATCATGTCCCATTATTTTCAGGAACCCTCTCTCTTTGCTGTGGCCAAACTGTTAGAGACAGGTTTAAATAACCTCCACCGCGCACGCGTCTTGTGGAAACCGCTGACGGCACATCTTTTGGAGGTAGGCTCTTCTTAGTTTCGACATTCACTGAAAAAACGTTTCATGATACTATCACGTGTTTGTTTCTGTAGGTGTGCCAGCATTCTCACGCTAAAATGCGCGAGTGGGGGGCCGAGGCTGTGACGTCATTGGTTCGTTCAGCTCTGACGCATGACCATAATCCTCCTTTGAAACAAGACCTGGTAAGCAAGTCACGTAACGTAACGTAATGTAACACAACGTAACAAAAGGTAATAATGACAACACAGTCAACTCAAGTGTCAAGATAGATGAAAGTCATCCACGAGACGAATTCAAGTGGCATACTGATATCGATGTTCTTAGTTTGAAATACAAGTCCTGACAAAGAAATTTTTAACTTAGATACGTGTGTTTCTTTTCTACAGCAATTACAGTCGATGCTTCTCAGTCCTCTCCAAGAAATGTCAAATGTCAGCTTTTCGGATATTCGCTATAAGCAATTAGAATGTGTTCTACAGGTAAGAATATGACGCTCTGATGTTTTAATATAAGTCCCTTGTTTTTGTCTTTACTCGTGTCGTCACTGTACGTCAAGGACGCCAAGCGCGCCAAGCGCGGGAAAACGCTCGTGACCAAATCACGTGCATCTGA